ACAGGAACTATTATATTAATACTAGTAATAGTCTGTGAAAACTTTATTTGTTAAATGTAAGTTTACAAAACAGTTATATAAACATTACCCCACTTATTTTATTTTGTTCCTGTCTATTTAGTTTTGTATTTAGGTATAAAGCTGTTCTATTTACTTTACATCTTCAGTAACTTCAAAAAACTACCCTAGAGAAACGTTGGCGGCTGTTTTTAAAACAATTGATAACTTTTAACCACTTTTGGTTTTGACTTCACTGTATAAACTTTTTTTTTTATTCAGTTTACTATTATTAAATGGTGTGATAACAATACTGCTTATTAAATTATTTCCAAGATATGTAATATACGAATGAATAGAACTTTTCATCCCATTTTTTGGGGTAAGAATAATTTATGGCAACTGAAATGTGAGAAATTTTTTTAGATATTTGTATGTGTAGGTTGTAGATGTTCCTATTTTAATATATACCCTTCGTATAGCAACGTTTATATACGCCGTTGGCATTTTTGGCGAAATAAATTTGAGGTAAATAAAAAAAGCTGTTCTTTATTCTTAAACTTCATATTGAAATGCAAACATCATATTCCAGGAATTTTGCAAGTAAATTCCAGACCCTTCTGTTGTGCGTCTTATTTTCAAGAAAACGATTTAAGTGGGTTCCTCTTTAGGTGTGCAGCTAAGGTATTTAAAATATGATTTTAGTTTTCGCAATAACAATTAAAGATGGTCTTTTAAAGATATTTAATACCTATCTTATAAACTGAACGGTCTCTATTGTGAGATTGTAACGCCTTATTGAGACATTTACGCTCCCACACTTTCGAATTGGTGTAGGTGCTCCTACACATCAAAATCTCAGGCGCTATTGTTTAAGTACAGAACAAATTTAAAAGAAATCGTAAGAGAATTTCATGTTGTTTTATAGCCTCGTTTACGGCATGGATTTCACTGCTAATGTATTTCGTTTTGCTTACCTACAGCTATCTTTATTCATCATGCTTATTCAAATTCTAAATGAAGGTAAAACAGACTCCTTTTAAATACTTTTTTGCATAGGCATACCTGCACCATTTGGTGGGCTTTTTCTTGTTGTTGTACGTATTTATGTCTTTTGTTGATGCATAAATGCTGAAATCTAAACGAATTAACAGGCTCGTTTTCAAAAATAAGCAGCAATAAAATATAATGCAGTCTACAACTGAATTTTTAATAAGCAAAAACTAATATTTTTCCTTCTAAATTCTGAATGCTCTAGCATACTAAGCATTCGATTGCGATTTTAGTTAGAATATTTACAACGCTTGGAGCTTTCGTTTCGCAGAAATAAAGGAGATACGTATTAATATGGTAAAAGCTTAGATTCTTTCTTCATTGTACACCCGAAGTTGGTCCTTACATTGCTTTTACATTCGCACCTAGTCCAGCGGTGTATTCTTAAAATTAAATTCCGGGGATAATGGCCAAATGGATAATACAATTACAGATTCGGCTGATTTCAAACATCCAGAATTAATTGACAATGCGACTTTATATTGTGTTTCATGCCACACGTGGCGTTAATGTTGTGACTAATTGTAAGTAGCTGTCGATGGAGTTTCCACTTTCTTAGTTTTAAAAAATTTAATTTCCAGAAAATTAATGGAACAATCGCAAAAATACAATTATCTGTAAATGACTTAAAGTGATGTCAAGAATCAGACATTTTTTTTGAGAAGTTTTGTTATTTTATTCACTATTCACGAGAAGTTGTGTAAGACGTTTTGTTGTGTAGCGCTCCTGAAATTAGCCGAGTAACTCTTTCCCATGTGGGAAATACTGGAATTGACGTTAGATCCAAATCTGGACAAGTAATAGGAAACCAAATATTGGATTCTCAGTACTGAATCGCTGTTCGGAAAATATTCAAGTACAAGGTTCAGTATATTAATGTTTCGCCAAGTTTGGCCCAGTAGTGAGCAGTCAAGTAGGTATAGGTTTATCAATACTGGAACAATGTTCGGTCAATCTTCAAGGCCAATGACGTTTCGCTAAGTTATCTTCAATATTGGGCAGAGAAGACGAATTGTATATCAAAACTGTACCGAGCTGCAACCAAATTTCAAACACCAAGGTTATACATATACACTACATACTGAGTAATATTCAATATATGAATTTCTTACAAATAAATTTTATAGAAGTGATTGCGTGGACCTAGATTAGATTACTATTCGCAAATAGTTAACGATATGGGATGTTCTAGTTTTAGGGAAATTCGAAGTTTAGCTCAGGATAGGAAAGAGTGGAGGTGGTTGTCCAACCAATCTTAGGACTGACGACCTACTGATAATGGTGAATTATTGTTTATTACTTACATTAAAATACAAAATTACTACCTAGAGAGCTGTCCTATCGTGGACTAAGTTTGTCAACGACAATCGTGAATCAAGCTCGGATCAAGCTTGGTCCTGTTGTGATTTCTTGCATGGATATATCTATTATCTAGATCATCTTTTATTCGAAAGCTCTATTTACGAAATATTTAGTGTGACAGTTGTCTTCAACATGTATCGACTACCCTTTACTGTTTACGGTTTTTGAATAAAAATTGTTTTAGGTATCCTTATTTATTATCTAGTTTTAAAGCAATTATAATAGGTGCAATTTTGTCGTTTACGTATCCCAATATGACCACACAACATTGCACTGTGGATGAGTTTGAAAAGCCACAAAATGTGGCAAATTTTTTCTATATTTGGGCATAAAAATAGAAACAATTATGGAGATTTATGGTAGTCTGATCTTGAATAAGATACTTATTATAGAAGATCCACACACCACATAAATGCTTATAAAATAATAAAGTTGAAAAGTTAATTTTTTTAGTTTGTCGAAAAATGCCGTTAATATAACATTACCCTGAAAATTAATATAAAAGTAGATACCGTTATTTTTGATAGGAAAATGGGTTTGGGTTGATTATAATGATTTGAAAAAATTGTCTTTGAATTATCCTAATCAAAAGTTTCAATGGTCACAAGCACCAAAACAGTTGTCGTTCAAACGTACCCATGCAATGATTAGTATTATATTACGAGAGCACCACAATATATAGATCGATCCTAAAATCATACGTCGAGTGCTTCGACGAACTGAGCACAACATTACGCTGTTGTTGGTTAGAAGAAAACCTGATAAAGTCGGAGAATTCGCTGGAAACAGAATTTGCAAAACAATCTTTAACTAAAGGCGATGACAAATTGGTAAAGGTTTTCTTGTCCTGATTCGGGTCCAAAGGTCGTCATCGGTTGGAGTTGCTTCCTAACGTTTCGCTAGCACGAGTTGCGAATATCTTCAGAAGTCCTTCCATCTCCGATGATGGATATAGACGGCCTTTAGACCCAAATCAGTAGAGCATCAGTTAAAGGCAATGACTCCTGGAATCACGTACTATTTTGTGATGAAAGTAAATTCTGCAATTTTAAGTGTAATGGTCGCATATATGCGCGAGTGGAGAAAAAGTGGCACTGCTCTGGATCCACGGAACATTCATTGCAACAGGAAGACATGACGGTGGAGGTCTAATGGTTGTATAGCTGCAAGTGGTGTGGATGAATCAATGTTTATTGAAGAAACAATGAACAGCTTGCTCTATATAGATGTGCTCGAAAATAATTAAATTGAATTATTACTTCCAATATAACAATGGTTCTAAACATACTATTGACATAGTTTGCCGATGGGTTGTATTTTGTACATCGCATACCCTGATCACATAGCCACAGGAGTCAGACTTAAACCCAATTGAACATGTGTGACAGAAGTTGGATACAGGAATTCGAGTGCACCATAAGGCAACTTCAAGAGGAATGACAGAAAATAGAACTGGATTTTACTCGTAGGTTGTTGGAAACGATAAATTATAAGTACGCTTGATAGTGATGACCAAAGCAAGACCAAGATCAAGTCCCAGTCTTGGTATTGGTCTTGTTCAAATACTTCTAGTCTTGGTCTAGTCTCTCTAGTCTAGTCTTGGTATTGGTCTTGCTGTTATAGTCTTAGTTTTAGTCTTGCGTGTTAAGTCTTGGTCTTCCTCGTTTAATCTAATACTTAGTCTTGCGTATTTCGTCTTGGTGTTGCATTTCAGTCTTGGCTTGTGTATTAGCCTTTTTCGTTCGGTCTTGGTCTCGGTCTTACTTTATCAGTCTTGGTCTCGGTTTTGTTCAAATACTTTAAGTCTTGGTCTTGGCATCATCTTGCTGATATAGTCTCAGTCTTAGTTTTGCGTGTTAAGTCTTTGTCTTCCTCGTTTAATCTAATACTTAGTCTTACGTATTTGGTCTTGGTGTTGCATTTCAGTCTTGACTTGTGTATTGGTCTTTTTCGTTCGGTCTTGGTCTTGATCTTACTTTATCAGTCTGGGTCTCGGTCTTGTTCAAATACTTTTAGTCTTGGTCTTGGCCATCATCTTGCTGATATAGTCTTGCTATTGGTATTGCTGATATAGTCTCAGTCTTAGTTTTGCGTGTTAAGTCTTGGTCTTCCTCGTTTAATCTAATACTTAGTCCTGCGTATTTGTTCTTGGTGTTGCATTTCAGTCTTGGCTTGTGTATTGGTCTTTTTCGTTCGGTCTTGGATTTGTTAATACCAAGACTGCAGTAAGATTTTGCTAATCGGGAATGTTTGAACGGTTAAGTGAAAAACTCGAGATTTGTAAGTATGAGAAATAGGGGCGTACTTATTGTCATTTCACCGTAAATGAACATTCGAACGGACTAGGTACTACGTTAATAGTAAGTTGCGAAGTTTCGGGAATGAGCGTCGCGTCGCGTCGTCGAAAGGAGAGGCGCGTCGCGTACGACGTCGACGAATCGCTTTGTCGTATGCATCGCTTTCGGCGACAAGTATCGGCAAAAGTTCCCGCCATCGTATCCGAGCCGTAGCACCACGTGTTTGCCGGCGAACCAACGGCAACGACACAGCAGCTCTCTCGACGTCGCCGTGAGGACGCACAGAGGACCGACGGACGGACGTGGCAGTGGCGACAGCAGCGGGCACATGTGGTGGTGCTGCTCTGCTGAAGTTCGAAAAGTTGGCCGGCCGACTCTCAGACTGGCATTTAGTGTTGCGCGGCTTGTAAGATCGGTCAGCATCATCATCATCATCTTTCTTCTTTTCAACTGATTCAGACGATTCGAGCCGCGTGTTTAGTTTCTGTTCATTCACACGTATTTTGACTCTCGTTATCCACTATCAATAGAAGAAAAGTTGACAGGAAATTGAACTCTTTTAAAGTTTCTATTTTTAACTTTGACAACTCTTTTGAAACTTTGTGTCGATGCGGTGCCGTTGTTAATGGTGAAGTGAGGAAATACACGCAAGGCGATCCACCAGAGCGGACACGATGGGTGTTAGCACCCGCTCTAACGCCAGCATCCTTTGGCTGTGTACCTTCTTTGTATTTTATGCGTTCCTCTTATCTGCTCATGGCCCGCTCGTGTCTTCTGCTGAGGTAAGTCTTCCTAAAGACGATTAAATTTCATCACAAACTAACCAAACTCGATTGATTCTCCAGTTTAACCAAGATTTGTAATTTTCTTTTCTAAACGATCCATTACTGAAGTTTGTGTGGTCGTTGAAAATAATGAATAAATTAAAAATCGACAACACCTTTGAGTGAATTTTAATGGATAACGCAACTTAATACTGCCAAGAAGAAGAATTCGATAAACTTTTCAAGTTGAGTTGATATTTGTCACCCTTACGTTTCAAATTAAAGATCTTAATGGATTCAACGCGTTTTGTCGTTAATCCTTTTTCGGAAGGATCGTGGTTGAACTTCTTGGAATTTCTAGCTTTCAATTAAGCTAATAGGAAAAGAACGTTGAACCCTATTGAAAATGCTATCAACAGTTGTAGAACAACCTTCAAGAAATGAATCAACAACTCCGGATGTTATCAGAAAAAGATAAAACGGATGGAAGATTAGAATTCTCTACCTAATTTTTCCAACGTAGCTATTTCTATTTTAACAAATGTGCACCTATTTATTTATTTATAGAGAAGTACAGATAATGCTATCGGCAACACCCACATTACGTATATTCATTCTTAACCTACTGTATTACTATTTAATTTGAGCGTTTTACCTTTAAATATTAAACTTTACACATTCAGGGTTTTCTTATCTTAAATACCTATACCTGCATATTTAAGATTAAACAGATCCATGCTCTTCCTTCGATAAAGTCCATTACATCAATATTACGATTGGAGATTTAGATGCGTATGTTCCTTCTTGGTACTTATCGTCATCATACCTCAAACTAAATATTACCCAGGTATATCGAAGTAATTACTATATAAAATTAAAAGTAAGAAAAGTTAAATAATAATTAATATTTATTATAACCCAGAATTTGTGTATGAATANTTCTTCTTCTTGTTGTAGTTGGTTCGAATAATTATTATAATGATTTTTATTTCTGTTGGTCATCAGGGAAATTGATCGTGCAGTCCTCATAGGTTACACTTAGTTTTTGCTTTCTATGTTCATTATCTTTACTTTTTTGGCACTTATTCCTTTTCTCATATTTTTTTAAAGGGGAAGTGTGCCTGTTTGTTAATATCAGTTGCATTAGTTTCGAATTATCGGATAAATGAGATGTAATCGAATTTCCCTAACTTTAATGGCTTCAATTCTCACGCGAAGCGCTGGAAACGTATTCATCGAAATGACCTTGCGCGTGTGTTTTATTGACAAACAGGACGAGCAACAAGTTGCAGTTCTGTACAGGATCCTCTAGGTAATTAGGGAACGGATCGAAATAGTAGAAAATAAACAATTAATTCCGCCCATAACTTAACAGGAGCGTTTCGACCTCTCTCCTTCTTTGCGTTACGCAATTTGTGTACAATCCCTTAGCTTTTTGATCTGAATATGTGAATGAATACTGTGAATGTTCCAGTACAGGTGGTATTAATACGGTTAAGGAATAAGGAGACATCTATCTTTCATAATTATTATAATTTTAATAGATACTTTTTTCTTGTTTAGAGTTTACGTTTAACTACTTTACGACGACAAAACTTTGTTAGGAAGTTAAAGGATAAACTGAAAGATATATATTGTAAGTCGGCATTAAACTTGGATTAACAGCTCTTTACAACTACAGCACAGACTTTGACTAAACTCAAAGGATATCTTTCTCCTTAAAGAAATTCTTCCTTAGAAACTTTTTCCAGTTTGAAAACGTTCACACTCTTTTAAAACAGTGGGATAAGGCTAATTGTATTCTCCCGTTGTTGTTCCTGTTGTTGTTGGCAAAAATAAAAATTCGCTGATTCTGGAAGGCAATGTTTACGTATCGCGTGTTTATGTATAAAGGCAACATATTTAGCTTCGATAGAGTCGTTAAAATTTATGGGAACAACGTTGGCCTGTTGGCACTAAAAATACATTTCAGAGAATGATGTTAAAGAAATAACGAATCTCATCAAAACGAACGTATGATACTTTTTCTATTTTTAAAATTCAAAGGTGGTGCCTGTTTTAATTAAAGTCGTTGTTGCTTGCCATGTGGGTTGATCGACGGATTAGTCATAATATCATAACTGTCCATTGCCTTCGTATGTCCACGGGTAGTTGAGTTCATGCACGCTGTCTTATTTAAAACTAAAGTAATCTATAATGAATCATATTCATTTCAAAATTATCCTGGCGCTATTGAACACAAAGCAAACCATTGGATATAATTATACCAATACGCTTATCTGAATGGATCCTGGGACCATAAAAATTGTACAACTAAAACCTGTGCATGAATGAAAATCTGGATGAACCGATTTCTACAATTTTTTTATTATCTCTTTTACTACTAGTTGTACTGTATAGCTGCATTCTTTATTTGTTCTTATGAATAATTTTCCAATTGTGTTGCATTTTAATTGCTTATAATTAATACATGAAAAATGCGAAGCTTAATACAGAATAGAAAAGAGTGGAGTTGTTTGACCAATCAGTTTTATGATTAGGAATGATAACCTTATGATAATGATGATGACGTAATAGGTAATGGCTAATTTTCGGTATATAGGAAGTCAGATAACTCAGAACGAAAGAATCACTGGAGATATACGAGGGTGGATTGATAAGTTTCCGGCCTGACCAAGAAAAACAAGGTTTTTAAAAATTTTTTTTTTTTATTTCTCAACATAATCTCCTCCAAGGCTGATACATTTCTCATAGCGGTGTTCCAGTCTATNAAATGTATACAAATTGTAGTTTTTCTCTCTATTAAACTAAATAACTAACCAAAATAGAAACTTGTTTATTTTCTAAGACTATTCTTTTGTATGACGTGTTTGTCATTTCGTTTCGATGCCATTATAAGCGGATTCCACTGTACTATAAGGAAGATGAAGCTACAGAATGGTTTATTAGCCATAGTATAGTTTGATCTGACCGTGATTGAACTGGGACTTGACCGATACTACAGATGATGCCTTCTCGTAAATTATTGATTTTTACGATTTTTTTTAAAAATTCTATTGGAGGCAACAAACAAAATTTACCAGTTTTCATACTTCCATAAAATTTTCTCCCTCTCGCTTGTACGAAACAAGGTAAGAAAATAGATTAAAAGACATCCGTGCATTTCACAGTGTTCCGCTTTAATATTCGTCAGATTTCGTAGTAACGGAAAAATGTCTAGGTATATGTAGATATTCATGTATATGCGGGTTTACCTAATTCGGTTTGCATGAACTTTCGGCGAATCTATGCAATCCTATATATGTGCAAATCTACATTACTAGAAACTTTTATTAAAAAGATAAGGGCCAACTTTTATTAAAAAGATAAGAACACTCCCAAGTTGCTTTCGGTTTATTAGATGGAACGAGCGCGTTGAAGCAGCAGAAAGTTTTACACTTAATACTTTGTTTCCGGCCTTTTTTAAAATGGAAGTGCTGAAAGTATTGGAAAGGTACGTAAGATTTGCATACCTAGGTTTTGCAACGACAGCAGGGACTTCCATTTCAAATTAAACAGAAAAAAACAATTGGAAATACATATTAAAGCTTGCCACATTACACACATTTGAAAATTCTTCATCTACACAATCTCAAAACATTGAATAATGTTATTGGTATTCTGATGTCTCTGTTTTCAAGCATTTTTATGAGGTTTAAAGATTCAATATGCAAAGGAAGTATAGAGGAATAACTTATTTTTTGTGGCTGTTTTATATTTTTCGGCAAATGTGTACGACTTTTTTCATTTTCTACTTGTATATGCACGTTTCTTTGAGTGAAAAATATAAAACTCTTCCCTTTTTATTTCGCTAATAAAAAAAATTACGAGACAAATTTCAGTTAGTTTACAACCACTTCTTGTTGGTATATTTGCTACTTAAGTTTTTTATTTGCACATATTTACTTTTCCTGAATGGATTTTAACGAAGACATTATTATATCTAGTAGATCCTTAGTAAGGACCTTGTATAATGAATGAAGTACTTCAGTTGGGAGTTGTTATAGTTATATAGCGATATACCTCCATGATAACGATAGACATTAAAGCTTTTAAAAAGCATCTTCGATTTAATCGGCCTAAATCATGCTGATGAAATCGAAATCGCGCATTTCAAATTTTCAAATTCTAATTCTTCACTCTCCAAAACTTCAATCGTATCCAGCTCATATCTTTTCCAAATTGGTCAAATTTTAGTTGATTGAGAATTGATAATAGAATCCTTGTTGTGCATCAGAAAAATTTAGTCATAGATTGGATTTACTTCATCGAAAATATTGAAAATGATTTATTTTGACATTAGTTACTAATCAATATTTTAATTTATATAATATCCTTGGGCTTAAACAAATCTGGGTTGTATAATATGTACTTATTGAACAGGAACTTCATTTCTACTTGATTCGAAGGTTCCTTTGGGAATGACTGTTATTGTGGCTTTTATTCTCATTGCCTACATAAATATCCAGAAGCCTTTATTTCCTATCTGACGGTTTCTGCACACAAATTGCTCTCTCTGAAATAAACATCAATGTAAACAGGACTTTGTAGAACCGCCCCAAAGTATTAGTCTCAAAACTAGATTAAAACATTTTTTGGACAAAAACTTTATGAGATTGTTTGTTGTAGGAATATATGTATACTTTTTAAGTTAGATTCCTGAACGTTAACGTTAATGTTTATCTTTATATCCAGGGTGGCGGTCAATTAAATCAACAAAGTGTTTCAAAAAGTCTGAAGATGATTTAAATTAACATTACAAAAAACAAACAATTTGTTTAATTATATGTATGATGTGGAAAATCTGAAATTGAAAGTAATTTTGGATGTAAAGATTTCTAGTTATTTTATAAAATGGAAGTTTTTCAGTACAGATGCATCTGATAGTGATTTTACTGGATGCTGGATAACCGAGTACCCATCATTAGTTGTACCGGATCCATATACCGAGTACCCTGCCCATCTCAAATTGAATGTTA